GGGCTCCCTCCCGGCCGCCTTTCAGCCCCGGCCCCAGCCTGCGGGATGCTGCAGGCTGGAGAGGGCGAGCCCGCACCACAAGCAATTATATCTCCTTCAGCATGACCAGCTAGAAATTTCCCCTGCTAGGACAGGATTTACGATTTTTCCCAATGGATTACGACCACGTATTTACAATATAAAAGCAATTACCATGACGCATAAATTAACCATGAGGAAACCTAAAATACTATCATTTAGGGCCTGACAGCCTAAAAGCTCAACCTTGGTTACCTGGACATCTCCGAGCAGCTCACAGTGCCATCAGACTTGAAGGACAGAGCTGAAAAAGTCATCTGAAAGGATGCTGTTAACACATCAAAGTAGTTCATCCCGTTACAGAGGATTTCAATTAAAGGCAGCTCCTTTCTGAGAAAGGCCCCAGAGTGGGATGTCAGTATGTTTAAAGGATTAATCCAAAATGAAGGAAACTGAGAGAAAAAGCAACGCTTTTAAGACAAAGAAAAAGAAATAAAATCTGGTGGCTGCGTGCTGAAAGTAAACGGCAGAGACTTTCCTGTTACCAGGTTTGTGCTATGAATACTGAAGATGAAGATGATGTTCTCTCATTTATCTTCTCTTTTTCCAGAGCTAAAAGCCAATTCCCTTCATCAACATTTTCTATATTTCTTGTTGTCATACTTCTAATTTAATCTTCAGCTTCATGTACCTGAAATTTAACTCGCTGAATCTCTCCATTGGTGAGTAGTGTTCTTTACTCAGAGTGGTTTAGGATTAAATATGATTGGCACTTTTGTGTTGTAAATTCTAAGACAGCTTGTCATTACTGCCAATATAAGTGTGCAGCACTCACAAACCCTGGATGTTCAATATTACATTCAGTTGCCAGTGAATACATCAACCAGGGGGTTGGACTAGATGATCTGTAAAGGTCCTTTCCAACCTAAACCATCCTATGATTCTATCAACAAATACATGATTTTCAATACCTGTCTAGATATTTCAATACTCTACTGTGTTGAGTTGCTTTTATGGTGAGTTTTCATATAAATGTTTCACAGACATAGCAAGAAGTTATAAAATTAAAATGCCATAATCTAAACATAATTTTGGAAGCTGCACGAGTCCCTGTGGGGGAAAAAAAAGTCATTTTGGAAAAAGAGAGCTGTACTGATACAACCTGCGAGTCAGACACACTTTATGTTAATGTGAGGACAGTGTGAAACAGCAGCTGTGGGTGAACCCTTGGACCTACTGAAGTCAACTGGAATTGTGGCCACTGACTTCAGTGGGGCAGGAATTTGCTCTGTATTTTCTGAAGTGAGCAGCTTTAGGAAGATTAAATGCCTTGTGCTTGGAGTTCCCAGGCTGCTGCCTCATCTTTATAGCTGTGATCCCCTGTTGTGTGTGAGACCCTGGATGAATCCCTTTGTTTGCTCAGGTTTCACACTTGCCAATTTGGAAAATATATATATACATGCATATGTATGTATGTATTCAAGCATATATGCACATATACATTTATTTAACATATATTTAAAACATATACATGTATGATTATGTATATCTAATTTATGGTGTACATATAATGTATGGTATATATGATACATATGGTGTGCATATATATACATACACAACAGCATTAGAAAGTATATTAATGTCTGTAGGGGATACTGAGAGCCTTTGAAAGAAGCTGCCATACAATGGTCTGAGGTAAAATTATGCAATCCATTTCTTTCTCGCTCTGACACCTAAAGTGCTCATCCTGTCCTGCTATTAGCATTAGTGAAATTTATTCCTAATTTCCATGTATTTTCCTGGCTAATCCATTTTCTAATCTGATACTGAACTACTCTGTAGAATTTTTAAACATATGTGACAGGTCACGTTATTTAAATTTCTCTCATCTATGTCTACCTGAGCACGGCAAATGGAATTTTAATATACAAGTACATTGTATCTCATTCAACCATTTGAGCGTATTTCCAAAAGCATTTCACTCTGGAATACCAAATCATCATTGAGCCATCCCACAAAAATCAAATCATAATTTGATATAATCAAAACATAATTATTTTCATATAATCAAAACTGCTGCTGTGCACTGTTGCTATGGTTATGCACCCCAACTTTCCCACCTGCAAAGCACAACACTTACAGCTGTGCACAGGAAGGCAACGCTGGAAATCTGACTTGTATTAAATATTTCATAACGATTGATCTCCATTCAAATATTTTTTTATACTTTTCTATTTATAGCCATATAAGAATTTTAAAAAATGAGATTTGTCTGCAGAGTAATTGAACTAGGCTTTTTCACCTTTCGTGAATCAAAACAAAGTTTTGGTGGTGTCATTGGTCTACAGAGAGAAAAGAACCGCAGAGAGGAACAAGGAGGACCTGCAAACAAGGCCGCCAAGCCCAGCTATTTAAGCGTCCTGAACCTGGCCTTAACTAGACGCTATATTCAAGTTCAACCACAGAGAACAGAAGTAAGTCAACGCAACTCTCACCCGTTTACTCTTCCCCAAACACGCACTTCCGCTGCGGCAGCGATACTTGTTGGGCAGGTACCGATCAAAATGTCCATTTTGTTGTGTTACCTGGGGGCAGACTGGACTGTTCTTAATGTTCTTTTTTTTTTTTTTTTTTTCTTTTTTGATCACCAAAGCTGTCAAGAAATGAAGAGCTAGGCAGTTACCTCGGGGGTTGGGGGGGTAACAGCTATGCAGGTACAGTGTTGCTTGCTTTATAGCGTTGCTTACACCCCACAGGGAGGCTGCTAAGGAAGCAGCGGCGGCGTTCGCCGGCCCCCCGGGGCGCCCCCCCGGCGGGCACAGGCTGGCTGTCCTCACGCCGACCAGCCCAGCTCCTTTCCTCGCCCCCACCCGCGCCCTCCAGGTGACCCGGGTCTGACCTGGGTCTGCCAGGGCCCGA